GGCCTCACAAAATCTGAGCAGATCTGCCTGGGGCTGGCACTGGGGTCAGCAACCTATGCGGCCATGTAAGCCATACTGTACAAGACTTCTACTAGGACCGGGAGTAGGCCCTTTTTTCCTTTTTTAGGGTTGGGGTTCCCTTATAATCCCCTTAAAACCAAAAAGGGAACCCTTTTGATTGCTAGGTTACTCCCGGGTCTAGTCTACTCCCTCTGATCTGAGAGTATGGATCCAGCGCTTGAAAGGAAGTGAGCGAGCTTGCAACCTAAACTAGGTAGGCCCTTGTGACATTTTATGTTTTCCCTTATTGGGTTTAAGAGGCTCATATTTAGGAATATCTGTAAAAGGCCTTTAAGGGCCATCCGAGTAAACCTCACATATTTTAGGGCTGGGGTAGACTGGAAATCTTCGGCTTAATAAATTTGGGTGTCTGCCATATCTGCGGGTGCAGACTGCTGGTTTTTTTGTGGCACTGACAACACCGGCACCGTGCGTTACGCAAGCGACCAAAACCTTGTTACAGTGGCTTATGGCCTATAGGGTTTATCCCTAAACCCTAATCCCTCAACCCTAAACCCTAAACCCTAAACCCTGGTCACGGCTCGAGGGCTCACGACAGGGAAGTTTGATTAGGGTGGTTTTGCCGCCACATTCGGGCCATAGCTGCTCTTCGCCTTTCCGGAATCTTTCGAAGCTAGTCTGCGTCCCAACCCTCACAGCCTCTGTGCCAAATCACAGCGAAGCCCTTAGCCCTCAGCCCTTGGCCCTTAGCCCTAAACCCTAAACCCCCAAACCCTAAACCCTAAAGTGGACCTAAACCCTACTACCTCGTGGCAGGAGGAGGAGTTCTCGGAGGTCTTCGCAGCGAGCTTGGCATTACCCAGCCGAGACAGCCGAAGTCGAGACGCGGATCCTGAGGTGCGACTTCCGCGGTTTAGGGTTCAGGGTTTAGGGTTTAGGGTTTAGGGTTTAGGGTTTAGGGTTTAGGGTTTAGGGTTTAGGGTTTAGGGCATTACAGTGGTCTTACAATCAGGGTTCGTGGTTGAGGCTTTATGTTTAATGGGGTTTAGGGTCTATAGGTGTTAGGTTATAGGGTTTTAAGGCTTTAGGGGATCTAGGGTTACTGCCAGGAGTATGTTTTCTGTATGATCAACCCGTAGACCCTATAGTCCCTAAGCAGCCACCTGCTGGGCCTACAAGAGCAAGCAACCAGACCAATTCGCAATAGGGTTTAGGGTTGAGAGTCTAGGGTTTAAGGTGAAGTAGGGGAGTGCTCCCCTGCACCCAAGCGTAAACCTTTACACGCTCTCCAGTGTAGTGCTCCAATACCGGAACAATTGCAGGCCTAGGCATCAGCCATAAACCCTAACTAAACCCTAAACCCAAAGCCCTCAGCCCTAATTATGCCCTAAGCCCTAAGGAACCCTGAGCCCCGAGCCCTAAACCCTAAACCCTAAACCCTAAACCCTAAACCTTGGAGCCCAAACCCAAAACCCAGAGTGCGAGGCCCCGCCGGAGCCGCAGCCGTCGAAGCCGGATGGACCCGATCCGGAGGAATCCCCATAAGCCTTAGGGTTTAGGGTTTAGGGTTTAGGGATAAACCCGACAGATACCCTACACCCGAAACCCTAAACCCTAAACCCTGAACGCCTGAGATTTAATAAGGGTTTAGGTTTAGGGTTCGGGGTTTTTGGGTTTAGAACCGCCACCTGCACGGGGCAACCCGGGCAACCCAAACCCTAGTTCCCTGAAATCTTACATACTCTTAACACCCTACAACTTAAAGCCTAAGACCCTTGCCCAAAAACCACCCACAAGCGGAAGGATGGGCAAATGTAGTTCCCTGTTGCTTTAGGGTTTAGGGTTTAGGGTTTAGGGTTTAGGCTGTTAGGGTTTAGGGTTTAGGGTATAAGCCTACGTAAGGATACACATAAGCGCCTTCCATCAGTGGTGCGCATCCGCTTCGGGTGGCGATTGGGGCTGCTGGACATGTTTTGCTTCACCCTGAGACCTAAACCTTAAACCCTAAACCTTAAACCCTAAACCTTAAACCCTAAACCTTAAACCCTAAACCCTAAACCCCAAACCCTAAAGCCTAACTGAGCCCTACGCCCCTCAATCCTACATCCTGAGCACTGAGTCACGAAAGTCCTGCCACCCTTCAGGGCTTAGGGCCCTTTATGGGGTGTAGGGTTCAGGGTTTAGGGTTTAGGGTTTAGGGTTTAGGGTTTAGGGACCCTAAACCCTAAACCCTAAACCCTAAACCCTAAACCCTGAACCCTGAACCCTGAACCCTGAACCCTGAACCCTGAACCCTACACCCCATAAAGGGCCCTAAGCCCTGAAGGGTGGCAGGACTTTCGTGACTCAGTGCTCAGGATGTAGGATTGAGGCCATGTGACCACTTCCATCTCACTAGGGTTTAGGGTTTAGGGTTCAGGGTATAGGGTTTAGGGTTTAGGGTTTAGGGTAGTTGAAGGTTTAGGGTTTAGGCTTCAGGGTTGAGGTAAACTTGGCACGAAAAGGAGCCCTCCGTCGATCCGGGTCCTGATGAGCCAGTTCCGAAGCCTCCCGACGACCCACCTCTGCCGCAGCCGGAGGAGAAGTTGAAGGCTCCTAGATTTGAGGGTTTAGGGTTTAGGATTTAGGGTTTGGGGTTTAGGGCTAGGGTTTAGGGCTAAGGGCTTAGGGTTTAGGGGGTTTGGGATTTAGGGTTTAGTGTTTAGGGTTTAGGGCTAGCGGTTGGGGTTTAGGGCCGCGGTTTTCGGGATATGGACCTAGGGGAGGATAAGCTTCTTGTTTTTGTTTGTTGCTTTCGGGGGTTTCTTATGCAATGCCTCAGGGGTCCAGTGTCTACAGGGCTTGCAACATATCAGATTTCAAGGTTTGTTGGGCGGGAGGTTACTAGAGCAGGGAGTAGGCCACACCTAGACCTACACTCTAAGCCTGAAACCCTAAGCCCTAAACCCTAAACCCTGAACCCTGAACCCTGAACCCTGAACCCTAAATGTGCAGAACCCCACACCCTGACACTCCGGGGCTGAGCGCCCCTTTAAGCTCATCGAAATGAGGGACAGCTTTGCGGATTAGGGTTTATAGGGTTTACGGCTTAGGGCTTAGGGCTTAGGGTTTAGGCTTTAGGGCTTCGGCTCCCCTATGAATCGACGGCAGTTATGCCTTGCGGGTTCATTGCGCTTGCTCGCCCACAGGTGTCCGACGTTCACCACGTGACGTCGCCTGCCCGCACGAAGAGACCTTCAACCCCAAGTGACCAATCCGAAGCCTTGACAACCCGGTTTAGGGTTTTGGGCTCAGGGTTTAGGTTGGGATGTTCCCCCTTAATTATACTAGCAGTCCTGGACAGGGATTATAGTATATAATTCCTACTAAGGACTGTTAGTATAAGGGGGAACATCCCAAGGTTTAGGCCTAAACCGGGTTTGCGGTTTGACCACTAAACCGCAAGACCCTCAACCGTGCAGAGGCTTTACTTATTGTTGGTTAGCAGTATATATAGGGGGATATAGGGTACCTCATTCTCTCATTCCCTACTAAGAACCCCAAACCCTAAACCCTGAAGCCCCAAAATCCGTAAACCCTAAACCCTAAACCCTAAACCCTAAACCCTAAACCCTAAACCCTTAGAGCGGGTTGCTTTCGGGCAAGCCCCAACCTCTGAGCCTTCGGACCATGGTAAGGTTCATGCCGTCCCCAGGTTTGGTTTTTTAGGGTTTAGGGTTTAGGGTTTGGGGTTTGGGGTTTAGGGTTTGGGGTTTGGGGTTTGGGGCTCAGGTTGAGGGCTTAGGGCATTTGTGTGTGCAGGCATTTTTGTTCCGCATTCCTCATGTTCAATTAAGGTAGTCGACGTCCGTATGCGATCCCTCAAAAAGACGATGTCCTATTTCCTGTTGAGAAGCCCTAAACCCCAAGCCCTGAATCCTTAACCCTAAACCCTAAACCCTAAACCCTAAATAGGTAAGTTCGGGGCCAGGAGCCCACAGTTGGAGCTTATAAGGCTTTAAGAGTGGGCGAGTGGTAGCCTAATTTAAATCCTCTTGAACACCACCCTAAACCCTAAACCCTAAACCCTAAACCCTAAACCCTAAACCCTAAACCCTAAACCCTAAACCCTAAACTCCCCCGGAACAGTCGCAAGACATCCGCTAGCCGCTATTGTATCTTTGGGTAGTTACATGGTCCCTTAGTATGGGCCCTTAAATGGGGACCCACTCATATACCCCTTGGTATACCCTATACGACCCAGGGGCAGAATCCTTCGAAGGAGGTAATAAACTCTAAATCCCACACCCTAAACCCTAAACCCTAAACCCAAAATCCTGAATCCTTCAAAGGAAGTAAGGGACCATATGAATGGCCCCTTCGACTACCCTTAGATAGTCAGAGGCCGCTCCTTCAGTCTGCCCGAGGGTTTAGGGTTTAGGGTTTAGGGTTTAGGGTTTCCCCGAAATCAGGCTCACATTGGAGAACCTCCTGGACTATGCCAAGCCACTCTCAAGCAACCGGGGGTCGTGCGAGGGCCTGTATAGTATGGCTTCTGCTCTAAGCCAAAGGGCTTGTGAGTGGTAGGAGGGCTTCGTGTTTGTTTGGGCTTTGGGCGTCTCTGTTGTGGTGTCGAATGGTTCGCCCTGAAACCTTAAATCCCTCGTGCCTAAACCTTCAAACCGACAACCCTAAGCTTCAGAGCGTTAAGCTTAAGGCTGTACTGGGTTTAGGGTCCAGGTTCGTATTATGGCTACTAGTATATACTTTTTTCCAGGGTCTACTCCGAAGTAGGGTGTATAGTCTGAAGGCCTCAGTGGGGGTTTAGGGATTCAGGGTTCAAGGGTTTAGAGGGACTCGAGAAACTAGGGTTGAGGGGATTGGGTTTAGGGTTTGGGGTTTTTGGGGCTTCAGAGTTTAAGGTTTAGGGTTCCGGGTTTAGGGTTTATTGTCAGGCTTCTGCCTGAACCGCCGTGTACCACACCGGCGTTCAAAGCAAAACCCGGCAAATCCTGCAGTTTCTTCCCCAAATCTTGGGTTTTGCCAGCTCTCAACACGGCGCCCTATTCAGTCAGAATTGTCCTTCTAGAGTTTAGGGTTCAGCGCCCGTCAGGATTCTTTTTCCCTCTGTTTGGGTTCGATTACGTCAACTGAGGGTGCCCTTTTTTACCGGTCACTGGGGGCCTAACCCTTAACCTTGAAGCCTAAACCCTAAACCTTAAACCCTAACCCTAAACCTTAAACCCTAAACCCTAACCTTTTGGGGTTCCTCTCGCTCTCAGATGGACCATCCCGGGCGCCCGGGCATTCAAGCGGCTTTGGCTGAAGAGCTCCGAAAAGAAGCCGTTAAAGCCGTGTGGAGGATAGGGTGTAGGGTTTAGCGTTTCGGGTTTCGGGTTTAGGGTTTGGAGTTTAGGGCTTAGGGTTTAGGCCGTAGGGGGAGCCCAGTGACTATACAAACTATAGCCTGGAGACCTTAACCCACTAAAGCATGGCCCTTTGTTGGTGTTACTAGTAAAAGGCGGCCCCTGTTATTTAGGGTACCCCAAAAAGGGGACCCTATTTTTTGAGAAGTAACCACTAGGATCCGAAGTAGGCCCTTGTTCCCTTTTTTCGGGTTTAGGTGGTTCCCTTCTAAACACCTTTGAAACAAAAAGGGCACCCTTTTGCATTCCTAGGTTACTGTTCAGGGTTTAGGGTTTTAGGGTTTAGGGTTTAGGGTTTAGGGTTTAGGGTTTAGGGTTTAGGGTTTAGGGTTCCTCTTGGGTCTAGACCATATGGCTGTGAGGCTCTACATCGGGAGGCACTTCTCTGGATACCCGAAAAACCTTTATCACAAGTATAAAACCCTACATGCCCTTTACGAAATCCCAACCTTAACCCTAAACCCTGAACCCCAAAAGCCCTTTAAACTTGAAGCCCTAAACGCCCCAAACCTAAGCCGCAGCATGCGGCCTAGGCATGGGTTAGGGTTCTCTACACGCTAAACCCTAGCCGTAAACCCTAAACCATAAACCCAAACCCGACACCCTAAACCCTAATTCCTGCAACCCGCAGCGGAGCGGAGCTGAGGCGAGTTCTGTCGTATTCCTGGTGCTTCATCTTGCTCCTGACAAGACGCATGACGTGAGTTATGTCCTAAATTGATTGGAAGTACCTGTAACCCAGGAAACTGCATGAACCGTAAACCAGAAATATGGCGTTGTGTAAGGAACCCTACGACCCCCCCAGAAGGGGAAAAGGGCAAACAGCGAGATCTGGAGATTCGGATGGTAGGGCAAGCTCCTTCTACTACTTGCTTAAGAACCAACCCCCCACAAAAAGGATAACAATCCCTAGATATTACCCTTATCAAAAAGATTTTTTTTTTTTTTTGGCGGGGGGGGGGGGGTTCATAGGCAATTGGTAGCCTTGGAGTGAACGCTGAAGGGCTGCAGCCCTGACCCGATTTTGTAGCGATTGTGTGTGTGTGGAAAGCAACTACTACAAGGAACCGACCCCACGGAAGCTCTTCAGTTTCTTAACCCTTATGTCTTGGCATTGGGATGTTCCTCGTTATACTAACAGTCCTTAATAGGGATTATAATAGGGGATACTAAATTTCCCTCAGGATTGTTAAAGTATGCTGAGGAACATCCCAACGCATGACTACCATTTGCTTAAGAACCCCACCTCCCAAAAAAAAACAACAAAGCAAGGAACAAAACACAAAAGTCTTCCTTATTAAGCAAACTTGTTAAATATTTGTTTTTAATCTTTTGGGGGGGTTCTCAAGCACAAAGTAGTCATAAGGGTTTATAGGGTCTAGGTTGGGATGGTTGGGATGTTCCCCCTTATCCTAACAGTCCTCAGTAGGGATGACAATGGGGGGGGTGCTGTAATCTTAATTAAGGACTTAGTACAAGGGGGAACATCCCAAGCAAGGTCCAGGGTTGAGTGTAGACGCAGGTGCCTGAACCAAGGCTTCCCAGGCTTATGTGGTTGTTTGTTGGACAGAGGGGCCAGAACAGAAAGCAACCCGATTGTAGAGTCTTGTGTTGACAATAAGCCCTAAGCCCTATGCCTATGCCCTATGCCCTATGCCCTAAGCCCTGTGCCCTATGCCCTATGCCCTATGCCTTATGCCCTATGCCCTATGCCCTATGTCATGTCTTGGGGCACGATCTCCACCAAGTTCACGGAACTTGAGGATTTGCAGTCATCATCTACGCGATGCTGATGCGAAGAGATCTTGCTGGACTACCTCTTGTGTATATGCTGATCACATTGGGGCCCGGGACCTAGATGATCCAGGGCCTGGGCTTTTAGGCTCATGGTGTTTCCCCAAAAACTCACAGGTCACAGAATCGGTTTTCTGGGGCACTCAAAGGAAGGGCGGCTGGGATTTGCGGGTTGCGGGTCGTGCCTCCTGGAACCCTGAACCCTCCGCCCTGAACCCTCCACCCAGGTACGTCATCCTTGAAGCCACCCTCCAGCCGTACGTGTGGACCTATCTCAACGACTGGGCCACTTGGCAATGCAGGTCGACGAAATGGGTGAACAAGGGATCGCGGTAAGTCTCCCTATGGGCCCGTCAAATAAAAGCGATGTAACACATGATAACCGAGAGCCCGAGAGTGCCCACGCTTGGATCACCCCCCCCCCCTCGCAAAGCGTTAGGAAAGTTGTGTTGTTTCCCTTAAGGTCTCAGGAACCGTTTATTCTACCAGTAACTTTGACACAAAGACTATTGTTTTGGTGTGTTTTGCAGGTGTTCCTCTCACAAATGTAGCGCCAAAGTGTTTCCTTGGGCTTGTGCCTTAGGGCATATCAAGATGGTTGTTCTCGGCTACTTAGAGGAGCTTGTGCCCTGAAACCCTATGAGCCCTACGAGCATGTCCAAGACCCTAAGCCTACTTGGAGGTTCATGGTACTTCTTAACCAATTACAACTGTACTTTTAACCCACTTGTAAGCCCCTTAAGTGCCCTAATATGGTTCTAAGTACATGTATAAGTACAGTTATAATTGGTTCATAAGTACCATGAACCTCCAAGTATGTCCTAGACAGACAGAATCAACGCTCGAGGGGAGGTCGTAGACCCCGTAGGCCCTAAAGTCCCGAAACACTAAGATTCAAGGGATGTTTTGGTACGTCAGCTCATGGGATCAAGGGGTTGACAGGTTTAGAGTTAAGGGCCCTGGGCGTCTCGGCTCTAGGATATAGGTTTGTTGGCTGGTTGCCCCGTGGTTGCTTAAGGGTTTGAGGCCGAGGATGCATTCCGGAGTAACAGTTTCAAAACACCTCGTCATTCTAAGCTCGAAGACATCTACGCATCCCTGCTACCTCCTCCCTGGCCTCCGAATCATGCCCTTCGAATACCCCAAAATCCATGGGGTCTAGGGTTAATGAACATCTTGGGTGGTTTAGGGTTTTGGGTTTTGGGTTTTGGGTTAGGATTTGCGACTAAGGGTTTAGGGTCCCATCTGCCATGAGACTGCAACGACACTCACCTCGCAGCCCAAAGCTGAACTGGGCACAGTGCAAGGAAGTCACCGTCCACGTGCTCATCTATGTGCCGCCTGGCCGATAAACCCTGAACCCTAGATCCAGAGCCTAAGCCCTAAATCCTGAACCCTAAACTCTGAACCCTGGACCCTGAGCCCTGAACCCGCAATCCAGATCCAGTCTTGGGTGTCGGGTTTTGGTTGCTATTTGCAGGCTGTGCTTCGGGTATGTAGGGTTTAGGGTTTAGGGTGGTTAGGGTGTGTAGGTTTCGGGGTTTTAACGGTTTGGGGTTATGGGGCTGTGGGATTTAAACACGTTGTTGGCGCTTTAGGGCTTAGTCGGGTAAGGGTCAACAGGGAAGAAAGCCGGAGAGTTGCTCGTGCGATACGGTTTGAGGTGAAAGCCTGCTGATCATTTGTTGGGTTTAGGGTTTTGGGTTTAGGGTTTAGGGTTTAGGGTTAGGGCTTAGGGCTTAGGGCTTAGGGCTTAGTGTTTAGGGCTACAGTAGCTTTGCAAGGTTCTTGCTCTTCGTCATCTCAGGGTGGTCGGCCTCTTGCCAGCAAGTGGAAGCATAGCCCGAGATGCGAAGCTCCAAGCTGCTTAGGGTTTGGGGTTCAGGGTTTAGGGTTTAGGGTTTATAGGGTTTAGGGTTTAGGGTTTAGGGTTTAGGATCCCAGGACACTGCCACTGAAGTGTTGGTGGTTGTGGCCACCCTCGCGGCGATCATACCCGTGATCCTCCGCTTCTTGATCCTCTTCCTCGGGGAGGTTGGGTTTAGGGTTTAGGGTTTAGGGTTTAGGGTTTAGGGTTTAGGGTTTAGGGTTTAGGGTTTAATTAGGGTTTAGGGTTTAGGGTTTAGGGTTTAGGGTCTAGGGTTTAGGGTTTAGGGTTTAGGGTCTAGGGTTAGGGTTTAGGGTGTAGGTTTTTAGGGTTTAGGGTTTGGTATTTAGGGTTTAGGGGGCTTAGGGTTTATAGGGCTTAGGGTTTTCGCAACCCTGAACCCCAAAGGCTCACAGCGCTTTAGGGCTTTCAGGGCGTTCGGGGTGGTAAGGTTCAGGTTTCAGGGTTACAAGGTTACGGAAACCCTAAATCCTAACCCCTAAATCCTCAACCTAACCGGGCTCTAGTATTCCGGATGCACGGCCTCAGGGCTTCAGGGATTGGGGTTTGGGACTTTGTGGTTTTGTAGTCAGGGCAGGGCTATGAGGTCGTAAATTCCCTACATTATCCCATAGTTCAACTTGTGCCCTGCTCGACATAGGGCTGAGGGTAACTCATAGAACCCCAAACCCTAAACCTAAAATCTAAACCCTTAACCCTAACCCCTAAACCCTAAACCCTATAAACCCTAAACCCTATAAACTCTAAACCCTATAAACCCTAAACCCTAAACCCTAAATCCTAAACCCTAAACCCTAAACCCTAAACCCTATCCACTCCAGGAGGACACGGAGGATCCGACCGACATGAGCATTGCGAGGGGAGTTGCGGCGGACTCAGCCGTGGGGAAGTCGTGAGGGCGGTGAGTTGAGAGTAGTTTAGGCTTTATAGGGTTTATAGGGTTTAGGGCTTAGGGTTTAGGGTTTAGGGAGGTGGCCGACCTACCTGGGGCTCTGTTTACCTGCGACTTGAGGGGGCTCGGCCCTTTGATGACCAGGGTTCTAATTTCACCGAGCTGCCACGCGCTGCTTCGCGAAGCCATTTTCCAAAGTTGCTCCAGAAGCCTTGATGCAAACAAGAATGTCTGCTGAACACCGACAAACATGCCTGAGCTACATCTTCAGTTTCACTTTAGAGCTTAGGCCGTGCTTTGTTCATGCCGGCCAGGTTGAACAGTTGAGTTCATTGTGGCGATGTAATGAAGTCATACAACAGCAGCAAATGTGAGGCGGTTCAGGCACAGAAGCCTGGAAAATGCCTGCGGGCCCTTTCTAAGTCAAGCAGTACAACCAGAAACCCTAGACCCTGAATGCTAAGCACCAGTTTAGGCTCCGCTCTGTCCGCCACAAGGAGTTCTGGAAGATTTTGGCCACAGATGCATCAAGAAACACCCATGCCCACAACAGACATACCCGGACACCCAAACCCACAATACTGGCCACAAAGACTCAGGTGCCAACTTACTAACTCACTATATACAACCTCAAACTAATTCCTTCCCGCCAATATTAACCCCACCCCCTACCCCCTAATAGCAAATACTCCAATGATAGTTGTATTATCGTGTATGGGGAGCACTTATACCCTAAACGCTAAACCCTAAACCCTTAAGCCTAAACCCTAAACCCTAAACCCTACAGATATTAGGGGGTAGGGGCGGTTTACAGAAGCCACGTGAATGCGTACCTTCTTCTCTGGGGAACTTGGTACACCCGAAACCTGGAAGAGATGAAGTTCTGGCCGTTCTGCTGTCAGGGTTTGGGGCTTAGGGTTCAGGGTTTAGGGTTTAGGGTTTCGGGTTTAGGGGTTTTGGGTGTAGGGTTTAGGGCTAGCAATTCTTGACTTGGGCATGCCGCAGTATATTCAGCTCTGAGTGAACGGGATTTGCTTTTTGCCTTTCCCGGCAATCTTACTAGTGTCTACGGCTCAGGGTATAGAAGTATTCTCGTTCGCTCCCGTCACCCTAAACCCTAAACCCTTAACCCTTAACCCTAAACCCTAAACAACAGTCCCTGCATGCCCATGCAGGGGTCTAAATTTGTGTTCGTCTGAGGATTTAGGACCTCGGATTCAGGATAGATCACGAAACCTAAGCTCCTAGAATAACAGTACCCCTAAACAAACCCTAAACCCTACACCCTAAACCCTCACCACTGCCCGCATGCAGGCCTCCTACCACCTCCATCAGCTCACGGACGGAGGGGGTACCGTTTCTCTTGGAGCTTCCTCCGTCTCGTCGACCTCCACCACGAGGCCCATCTAGACTGGGTTTTGGAGTACTATACTTTTTTTCTGGGTTCCTATTATAGCTACAAATTTTAAAACGGTACAGTATATACTTTTTTCCAGGGTCTACTCCAAAGTAGGGTAAATCTGAGCCCAGTCTTAAACCGAAGCAAGGCATGGGCTTCGAGGCTTAGGGGCTTAGGGACTTAGGGGCTTAGGGGCTTAGGGGCTTAGGGGCTTAGGGGCTTAGGGGTCTAGGGTTTAGGGTTTAGGGTTCAGGGTTTAGGGTTCCATAAGTCAAGCCGCCCCTTTCCTGAGCCCTCACGATGCTCCAGCCCTAAACCCTAAACCCCAAAAAGTGCTCAAACCCAAAGCCCCAGAGGGGGCCTCCAACCGCAAGCCTTCAAGCCACGAATCCCCTGCCTAGCAGCCCTGCAGGCATTTTTGTCAAGCTTTACCCAAGGGTTTAGGGTTTAGGGTTTAGTAGCAAGAGTCTCCGTAAGACCTAAGGGATTTAGGGCGCAAGGTATCTTGATAAATCCAAGAGGGACCACCCGGTTGTTTCTGCATGGGACCTAACTTCTGGAGGGAGCCCTTATAAGGGGCCGTTTGGGGGTCATAGAGGGGCTGCAACTAAGAGCTACTTAGGTATTGTGGGCTTTCTTTTCGGTAGTCCTTAAGAAGCCCCGTGCCTGAAAGCCTCCGCCCTGACACCTCTATCCTGCGGCTCCAAGTAGCCCAAAATCGGTATGCTTCATTTAGAAACCCGAACCGCCCTGAACCCGAAGTGCTAGGCCCTAAACTCTAAACCCAAATCTAAGGGGACCTCCTTTAAAGGCTTCTGAAGTATAGGCCCTTGGGTTGTACAGGGTACGACCAAAAGCCTCCAAGCCTGCCAGTTCCGTGTCGACCGTGGGCCGGGAGCTGAGTGGCAGCGACTCATAAATGCCCCAAGCTACGACCCCCTGCGAACCCCTCCCCCCCCCTAAGCCCCTTGTATATTGAACCCCCCCCCCCCCCAAGTTCTGTTGTTTAAGGTAATAGTTTATCGTGCATGCTTCAGAACATATAACATCTCACAGTGTACATGAGAGTGTATATATCTCTATACATATATACACACACACATGTGTGTGTGTGTGTGAGTGGTACGTCGTAGTCTGGCCTGTTAAAGTCTGCTATAGAATGCATGGAAACACCCCTCGCCACCTGCTCTAGTATTTAGCTGTCGTACAGCAGTGAAACCTTTTTTGCGAGCGTAGCACAGCCTTGCGCTTACTGTCGGTTAGTATAGAATGAAAATCGGGTAGTATTATTGCGTCTAGTATTGCTACTTCTACTATTCATCCACTCCTTCGGTTCATATGGTTCTAGGGAGGTTCAGGGTTTGGGGCCTTCCATATCCTGGGGAGTGGTTGCGGGGTTCTACGTTTAAGGGGTTCTACGGTTCAGCTGAGAGTCGTCTCGTTTGGGCGACTTGTTCGCACACCCAACCCTCTATGGCCAGAGATGCGCCCAGGTGGTGAGATGGAACACGTTCGAAAGTACATTGAGCTAGCTGCCAGGCTGCACTTCCGGCTTAGGGTTTAGGGTTTAGGGTTTAGGGTTTAGGGTTTAGGGTTTAGGGTTAGGGTTTAGGGTTTAGGGTTTAGGGTTTAGGGTTTAGGGGGTTCAGGTTTAGGGTTTAGGGTTTTAGGGTTTGGGGTTTAGGGTTCAGGGTTCGGGTTAGGGGTGTAGTGCTGGCCGCCTGGATGTGCTAAATGTCGGAAGTTTGCGGTTTAGGTTCTACACCTAGGCGGTGGTCGTGAGAAAATCCAAGCCCTTCAACTTTTTGCGCGGATGGCTTCCCTGCACCCCCCCCCCCCCCCCCCCCGAACCCCAGCCAAAAAAATAAGAAAACCCCACAAAAAGAAGAAAACCCCACATCCTTAGAAGTACGGGGGTTTGAAAAAAAACCAGCCCCAAACACAACTCAAGTGATTAAGGGTTTAGGGTTGTTTTAGGTTTAGGGTTCAGGGCTTTAAGGCTTTAGGGCTTTAGGGCTTTAATTAGGGCTTTAGGGCTTTAGGGCTTTAGGGCTTTAGGGCTTTAGGGCTTTAGGGCTTTAGGGCTTTAGGGCTTTAGGGCTGTAGGGCTTTAGGGCTTTAGGGCTTTAGGGCTTTAGGGCTTTAGGGCTTTAGGGTTTAGGCTTCTGGCTTGGTGGGGCTTAGGCTTTAGGGTTTCTCGTCGCGTCCGAAGATCGTCTTGCATCAGAGTATTCTGGGCAAAGCCCTAAGGATTCAGAGTGTAGGCAAGCCCATAACGGTATTTCCCAAAATAGGGTACCCCTTTCATACCCCAGATAGAATAGAATCCCCTTAAAGGGACCCCCCCCCCCCCCAAAGGGTACCCCTATTTCGGGAAAACCCTAAACCCTAAACCCTAAACCCTAAACCCTAAACCCTAAACCCTAAACCCGCAAGGTTAAGAAGCGGCATATCACTGTCGTGGAGAAGACTCTGGACGATCATGGTCAAGAAGTGGAGCGAACCACTCACACGGAGGACCATCTAGGGCTTGGGCTAGGGTTTAGGTTTTTGGGGTTTAGGGTTTTAGGGTTTAGGGTTTAGGGTTTAGGGTTTAGGAGTTTAGGAGTTTAGGAGTTTAGGAGTTTAGCAGTTTCGAGCATGGATCCTCACAGTGTTATGGCCTGCGCTGTGGGTGTTAGGCCTTGGAGAGGTAGCCCAAGACTCTACGCCCCAGCCACTTTGTCTTCTCTAAACCCCAAACCCTCAATCGGAAAGCCTTAAAACTCTAAGCCCCAAACCCCAAACCCCCTAACTTAGGGGCCGCAAATGCTTTAGAGCTTGAAAGTCTAACGTTGCACATTTGGGGGTCGGGGCCCGAGTGGGACGTAGGGAGCAGGCCGCTGAAAACAGCATCTTCCGCGGGGCTTTTGTCAGGAGGAGGAACTCACCCGCCCTATTCACCCTAAACACCTGCATTTTATCTGTATAAGTTATATTATATTGCATCTACATAATTATTCATGTGTGTGTTTTTTCTGTTATATAGCTCGTAAGAATTACAGAAACCCCGAACTCCTGCAGGAAGTGGAGACGGAAGGGGTTACGTACTCGTTCGACATGACCAAATCCGAGGCTGGCTCTCGATGCGTGCGAGCTAGGGCGTGTAGGGTTTAGGGTTTGCTGTGATTTGGGTTTAGGGTTTAGGGTTTAGGGTTTAGGGTTTAGGGTTTAGGGTTTAGGGTTTAGGGTTTAGGGTTTTTAAGGGTTTTTAAGGGTTTAGGGGATAGGGTTTGAAATGGGGGGTGCAGAGCCTGCAGTCCCAGAGAGAGGGAGTGGTGGCAGCAAGTATAGGGGCCCATCAACAAGGGCCCACGAGCCGGGGGTCCCGGAACGTCCCAGGAAAGGTTTTTAAGGGGTTGCGGGGGACTGGTCCCCTTAAAGCCCCCCCCCCCTCTGCAAGGGGTGTAGGCCTTGAGTCTCTGATTTAGGTTTAGGGTTTAGGGTTTAGGGTTTAGGGTTTGGGGCTTGGGGTTTAGGGTTTAGGGCTTCGGCAAACCCAAGTTACCTAAACCTTCGGCTCTTTGTCAACCCTTGCGCTGTTGAGCGCTGCGACCTCCCTTTGCCTTGCCGACTCTGAAACCTTCTAAAAACCCTAAACCCTAAACCCTAAACCCTAAACCCTAAACCCTAAACCCTAAACCCTAAACCCTAAACCCTAAACTCTTGTTTGAAGCTGTTATGTTCTGGGTTTGGGGGCTTTTTGCCCTGAACCTGTGTTCGAATCCAGGAGCCACCCTGGGCACGGCACTGCAAACCATGTAAACCCTAGACCCCCTGAGCCCCCCAAACGCCCAAAACCCCCTAAACCCCTAAACCCTGAAGCCCTCCCGAGCCCTGCTCTTCAACGATTTTAGAGGGATTAGGGTTTAAGCTTGAGGGTTAGGGTTCAGGGCTCAGGGCTAGAGGTTCCCGCCCTGTTCGCAGAAAAAACTCACCAGGTGGCAAAAGTCATGCAGGGCGTGAAGGACGAGAAGCCGCGACCAGACCAAGGCGCTTTGCTGGGGTTTTAGGGGTCGGGTCTGGGGTTCAGGGTTTGGGGTTTAGGGTTTAGGCTTAGGGTTTAGGGTTTACGGTTTGGGGTTTGGGGTTTGGGGTTTAGGGTTTAGGGTTTAGGGTTTAGGGATCCCTTTTGATACCCTGCCTCTGAGTGATCCCTAGAAGGGTGCTGAAGGATCCCTAGACTTCGAGTCTAGGATTATGCCTTTTGAGTACCCAAATCTGGGTTTAGGGGTTGGGGTTGGGGAGTGAGGCTTAGGGTTTAGGGTTTAGGGTTTAGGGTTTAGGGTTTAGGGTTTAGGGTTTAGGGTTTAGGGTTTAGGGTTTAGGGTTTAGGGTTCCCTAAACCCTAAACCCTAAACCCTAAACCCTAAACCCTAAACCCTAAACCCTAAACCCTAAACCCTAAACCCTGATTTAAAGCACAAAAAACCCTAAAGACCCGGAGCCCCAATGTGCAGGTGGTGACGATGTTGGCCTCTTGGAAGCAGTTGGATCCTTTCATCCTTCCCCACCCTAAGCCCTACTTAAACCTGCCAACGAAGGCAGACAAAAGCCCTAAACCCTAAACCCTAAACCCTAAACCCTAAACCCGTCCTCAAACCTAGCTCCTGACAGCTCCAGGCCCTCAACCATGCAGCCTACACTCAAATTATAGGGTTTACGGGTTTCAGGGCTTACTTAGAGTTAGGGTTGATACGGTTTAGGGTTCTAACGATATATGCACCATAAGCCTGAGGGTCTGGGTTTAGGGTTTGGCGGTTTCGAGGTTAGTGGGGGCTCATCCAAGTTTTTGTAAGGTCGCGACCCTGAGTCGGGTCTAGGAGATTTACTTCGTAGTCTCTTCTTATTTTTTGTATGTTACCCTGAGGGTCCATGTACCTAAAAATACTTGGGCCTTAAAGTACCTTCTATATACGGACTGTGCGGCCCAAGTATACATTAATAAGGTGCATGGACCCTTAGGGTTAGTTCCTGGGCTAGCAGGGACCCTAAGCCTCGAACCCTGAAGGATCGAGGGCTTAGGGCTGTTTGTTGTTTTTTTCTTGTTTGTTTTCTTCTGTTGAGGGCTCTGACGTGTCTTTCCTTTAGCGCTCGAAGTTTCCAAAGGGGGAAGCCTCGTACCTCTCCCCCACCCCCGACCCCACCAGAGGAGGGACGATTCTGATGGACTATTGTGAGTTTTATTCTCGAGCCCGCTGTAGTCCAAGTAACCCTGAATCAGTAAGCCACGTGAAGGGTTGGTTCAGACAGCTCGACTGCTACAGGTGATCATCACCAGATCACTGCCGACGAAACAGGACTGCCACTGCCACGACTGGTACAGGAGGTAGAATAGGTAAGTAGGCAAACCCCCTAAACCCCCTAAACCCCCCTAAACCCCCCTAAACCCCCCTAAACCCCCCTAAACCCCCCTAAAGCGCCTAAACCCTAAACCCTAAACCCTAGACCCTAAACCCTAAACCCCCCTAAAGCCCCCTAAAGCCCCTAACCCTAAGCCTCAAAGCCTCAGCCCTGCCATCCTCATCCTGCTGAACCCTGTGAAGGCTAGCTCTCTGGATTCGGGCCCCTTCTTGGGTCCTCCTTATTAGGGTTTAGGGTTTAGGGTTTAGGGTTTAGGGTTACTTAGAAGGTTTCATTGCTATATATGGGGTTTACGAAAAGAGAGGACCCCTAACATAGACCCCAAACAGCAGGGAATCCCCATAAGGTACCGCCAATTTCGGACACCAGCGTGTAATTCTAAACCCTAAACCCTAAACCCTAAGCTCCCAGCCCATATGGTCGTGGAAAGGTGCCCTGATCAGTTCGTAGTTGGATGCTTGCGAACATCATCAAGTAGACCCTTGGGAACAATCCCTAAGGGCCCATGTACCCACTTGATATATACTTGGGCCCGAAAGTCCCTACATAGGACCCGTAGGGTATGTTCCCTCTCTTTTTCTGCAGGTGATTCAGGGGTATTGAATGCAGAAACGGCAGGCCTCATTCCCCTCACGGAGCTGGACGTGCAGTCTGAGATCATATCCGAGGGAGAAGACATACAAACGAGTGCTGTATAGGACACCAGGTGCTTGAAATCAGCATCGCCAGCCAGCATCACCCTGGCTTGCTCCTTCCGAAAAGGTGCCCTAAACCCTAAACCCTAAACCCTAAACCCTAAACCCTAAACCCTAAACCCTAAACCCTGAACCCTAGCTACATCGTCAGGGAAGCTGGCGAGGCTCTCACTGCCTATCCATCCACTCAGCGCAGGCGCTGTCTCGACGCCAATGCCTGCGCAGAAGTGGGAAGGCTGCTTTTAAAACCTTGGTAGCCCAGTGGTACCCTTAAGACTTTTTTTTGGGTTCTGGGTTCCCCTATAAGGTAACCAACCCCAAAAAGGGTGCCTTTATTACAATATGGTTGCTGGGCTAGCAAGCAGCGGAGGCCATAAAGACATGGAGCTCACAGCACAAAAGTTTGATACCAGCTTGACCGCTCCTGGGTCGGACCAGGGACTATGGCCCTTGTGAATGTCAAAGCCCTAAACCCTAAACCCTAATTAAACCCTAAACCCTAAACCCTAAACCCTAAACCCTAACCCTAAAACCCTAAACCCTAACACCCTAAACCCTAAACCCTAAACCCCAAACCGAACCCTAACCTGCCTTAGGGTTGACTTGTTTTCAAAAGTCTCTCTCCACATCCTTGGCCTCAAGATCTCAGCCCTCCCAGCTGCTCTGCAAGAACCCGATAAGGGGATTAGGGTTGCGGGCTTGGGGGTTTAGGGTTTAGGGTTTAGGGTTCAGGGTTTAGGGTTTAGGGTTTAGGGTTCAGGGTTTAGGGTTTAGGGTTTAGGGTTCAGGGTTTAGGGTTTAGAGTTTAGGGTTCAGGGTTTAGGGTTTAGGGTTTAGGGTTTAGGGTGAAAGCCTTGGCCGCCCAGTGGTACACTTTACTCTTTTTCTGAGTTCTCTGGGTTCCTTTATCCAGAAAAACCAACCCAAAAGAGGGGTGCCCTTAATACAACATGGTTACCCGGGCTACCAAGAGAAGCCCTAAACCCTAAACCCTAAACCCTATCCCTAAACCCTAAAGCCTTAAGGCGAAAGCCTAAAGCCTAAAGCCCAAAGCCTAAACCCTAAACCCTAAACCCTCAACCCTAAACCCTAAACCCTAAACACTAAACCCTAAACCCTAAACCCTACACCCTAAACCCTAAACCCTAAACCCTAAACCCTAAACCCTAAACCCTAAACCCTAAACCCTAAACCCTAAACCCTAAACCCTAACCCTAAACCTAAACCTTAAAGCCTAAGCCCTAATCAGGCTCCCAGCTGCGCACTTGGGGTTCAGGGTTTGGGGGGGCTACTGCTTCGGCCCCTGCGGTCGAATCTTTAGCGCTCAACCCCTGCAGCCTCTTCCCTAAACCCTAAACCCTAAACCCTAAACCCTAAACCCTAAACCCTAACCCTAAACCACAAGGGCCGTCCCTCTGTTTCGGGATCCGACTCTGTGAGTCTTTTATATGCTCGTCGAAGATCCCAGCTGGTCAAACCCCGACGCTTCCAACCTCCAGAGCACGACAGTTGGCAGGTAACAGAAGGTGTAGGGTTTCGGGTTTAGGGTTTCGGGTATAGGGTTTCGGGTTTAGGGTTTCGGGTTGAGGGTTTAGGGTTTAGGGCGCGCGCGGTACGTTCGTAGTCGCGTATTCAGCCGCTTAGGGAAGCCCCAAGTTCCTCAAACCTTAAACCCTAAACCCTAAACCCTTTCTTCCCCAAAGCCCAAAGCACCGAAGGCTTGATATCAAGCATTTGCCGAACCCTTCTCTGTGGTGCTTTTTATTGAAACGTTAGATCCTTAGCCTTATTGGGTTTATTGGGTTTATAATTCATGAGGCAGCAAAAAGTTTGTTTTTTTCACTACCCTCCTAAGTGCAGCCAAACCTTATACTATTACTGGTTGGGATGTTCCCTTTTATACTTGCAGTCCTTGATAGGGACTATAGTAGGGGGCACAGTGCTATAATCCCCATGAAGGACTGATAGGACCAGGGGGAACTCCCGAGTTAATAGTATTAATACTATTCATAGTTTCAATGCGATTACCACTATTCATACTAATAGTCCTATTGACACTATTCCTACTATTAACACTGTGAATAGTATCAATGCTGTTAATACAGTTAATACTTTTTTATATCGTGTGTTAACATCTTGTGATCCATTTACAAGTCCCTTCAAATCAGCTACATCCCCCAACCCTAAACCCCAAAGCCCCAACCCCTACAACCTGAAAAGCCCTTATAAGCCCAGATAACACCCTCATGGACCCTTATCATCTGTAGAACCATGTAAACCTTCATAGTCTCCATCAAGAACCCCTCCTAAAACCTTTGAAAGAGCCCGCCATAAAATTCTACAAATTCCCTTACAGACCCTAAACCCGAAACCCGAAACCCTAAACCCTAAACCCTAAACCCTAAACCCTCAGAAGCCCCTCTCGACACGAACCAAGCTACTGACCAGCCGGCAGTTTTCGACGGGGTCGCGGCTGCGGCTTCTTCTGGCGCATTTGGTAGCTACAGGGGAGGTTTAGGGGTTTAGGGTTTAGGGTTTAGGGTATAGGGTTTTGTGTAATTAAGGTTCTGTGGTTTAGAGGGCTTTTAGGGTTCATAGGGGGCTATGGGGTTTATAGGGCTTGCAAGGTTGCGGGGCTTCTTGGGCTTAACGGGCTGGCAGGCTTTCAAGACTGGTAGGGTGTATAGGGTTCACGGGGTTTTGTAGCTTTACAAGTCTTTTTGGTTTGTTGGGTTCGTGGGCTTGGCCTGTTCAGGGTTTATCGGGTGTATAGTTTATAGGGCTCCAGGCCTAAACCCTGAACCCTAAACGCAAAACTCCCTAAGGTAGTAGCGGTACATTACACCTAACCAGATTTCCTAAGCCTTCAGCTCTCAAATCAAAACCATTCCCAACGTCCTTAGGCCCTACACCCCAAAGTACAGAGGGGCCCGAAACCCTGTGTTCTTACCTTAGGGAGTTTAGGGCTTAGGGTCTATAGGGTTAAGTGCGCATAGAAGAAGTAGAGTTGAAGCTTCTAAGGATATGTCGAGTTGAAGGTACTCCTAAATTAAACCCAAACCCTAAACCCTAAACTAGAGAAACCTTGGACTCGTCACGGCTGGCATGCCCTGACGCGCCCGAAAGCCGCAGCTTTCCTTCTGCTTTCCGGGGAAGGAGTCTCAGAAGTTGCAACTTAGGGTTTAGGGTTTAGGGTTTAGGGTTTAGGGTTAGAAACTTAGAAGTTCCCCAAGCCCTGGATTTTGGGTTGAGGGGTTTCAGGGCTTCAACTTTACTACACTCCGAAGACGAGACGGGTCGGCCCACTGCCAGACCACCCGCCTGAACCTCAGCCAAGACCCCTGAACATTGAAACTTCGACTTCGCTGTAGGGTTTAGGGATTTAGGGATCTAGGATGTAGAGTTTAGGGTTTAGGGTTTAGGGTTTAGGGTTTAGGGTTTAGGTTTAGGGTTTAGGGTTTAGGTTTAGGGTTTAGGGTTTAGGGTTAGGGCTGAAAACTGCAGCGGAAAAGGCGCCCCCGGAAGCCCAGAACCCTCAAGCACCAAAACCCTGAAACCCTAAATCCCTAAATCCCTAAATCCCTAAAACCTACAGCAAAGTCGAAGTTTCAATGTTCAGGTTTGAAGCTGTGTTCCTCTTAGGCATATGTGTTCAGTTCTCAAAATTAGGGTCCCTTTTCGGGGTACCCTACATAAGAGGGGCCGCCTTATAAAAAGGACCCCAAAACGTGCCATATTTCAGAGAAGTGACCATATAAGCGTCGCTCGACAACTAAAGCTTTCCAGGGCAAATGTAGGGCTGGAGGGCAGAGGGTTGGGGAGGTTCGATGGGCTTCTAGGTGGTTTAGGACTTAGGGTTTAGACCCTAAACCCCTAAACCCTAAAACCCTAAAACCCTAAACCCTAAAGTGTTGGGTTCAAGGCAGGTGCCAGTAAGCCACTGCGTCACCTTCCCCGCTAGCTATTTTCTTGTCCCGGTGCCTACAGCAGTGGGACCACGCACTCATTTGCAAAGCCTTCAGCCTTTGGCCTGGACTTTAGGGTTTAAATTTATGGTTTAGGGTTTAGGGTTTAGGGTTTTAGGGTTTAGGGTTTAGGGTTCCTGTGCCGAGTTACCGATGCCTGAAATCCGATACCCTAAACTAGGCCCTAGACCCTAAACTTTAAACCCTAAGCCCTAAACCTAAACCCAAAACCATAAAACCCTAAACCCTAAAGCCTAGTTCTAGCTGCTGGCCCTGTTTCTTACTTGGGTCTTCTTGGGGCTGTGGATAACTCATTTTTACTTGCGGTCTTGTTAGGTCTTGCTCATTATGTTCTATGACTTGATACAAGGATGTGCTTTATCGCTTCTGCTTCTGGTTTGCTGTTGTTCCCTTTCGCTTATTAACATGTACTTAATACTGCCGTATTATCTACTTGCTGTTGTCGACATCATCAGCAGCAGCACCATCATCACCATCATCAGCAGTGTTTTTTAAAATCTTTTAAACCCTAAACCCTAAAACCCTAAACCCTAAACCCTAAGGTTCTGTTGAGCGTGTTCCCGGCCACCAACCGTCCTCCCGGCCCTTCCTGCCTTCCCTCCAGCGCTACCCCAAACTACTATAGGGGCCTTAATAATTAGAATAGGGTTTAGGGTTTAGGGTTTAGGGTTTCGGGTTTAGGGTTTAGGGTTTAGGGTTTAGGGTTTAGGGTTTAGGAATACGATTAGTATTGACGACCCCAGACTAAAGTGCATCGGCTGGTAGGTTGGCATACTCCAGCATGTTGTATGAGCATGACGAGCTCTTCCAAGACTAGGGGCTTCTGTTCACTTCCAAGCAATCGTGCCAACCCTAAACCCTGAGCCCCAAACCCTGAACCCTACACCCGAAACCCTAAATCCTTGTTTAGGTGGCTCCAGGTACCTTCCGGGCTCTGCAAGTGATCTATCGGCAGGCACATCCGCCCGCTGTTTAGCAGTACACTACCGTCTGTGATGTGTGTCAGCCAAGAGCCGT